TCTTATTATTCAATAGAATTCTGTGGATTTAAACACGTTCAAATCAATCGAATGGAGTTCTAATTGGAATGCTTTATCGAATTAGACAAAAATACGGCATAATAAGCAACTTTGAAAATGACAGTCGTTCCAATTCTGCAGAATTTCACACAGATGTTGCACGTGGTCCTTCTCATCAGTCTCTGGTGATCAATACGACAGTGAGACTCTCAGACACTCAGATTAGAAACACTCATTTCTCACTGCAAAGGTCCCACTCATACTGAACTACATACTGCATATCTGTCAAATGTGTTCGTTGATACACATTTTAACGTTTATACTCTTACTTATACACATACAAAGGCGTACAGCTGTATTATATTTTATATTTATTATGTTTATTTTTAAGTCTTAGCTCATATCTGTGATCCTATTTGTATTTTCTTCTCGTCTCTGGAGCTACAACCTGCGATTACTGATCAACTTTGACTCGACTCATGGCAACAACGCGTTTTGGCTCTGACTGAATGTATGAGGGCAAGAAATATTTAATTAATAATAAACAATGTGCACTAGCGAGAATTCAAATAAGCAGCATCATTTGAAAGAGATTAATAACTATTTAATGACTGTGTTTCACAAAGGGGGGAACAGCGTACACCCCATCAACAACAGTCAACCTCAGTATTATTTTTTTTTTTTTGACACATGATAGTCTAATATTGTAACTGTAACAGACACTAATAGCGCGTTCAGAAGGATGGAACGTCAAGAGTTACACTGTATCACTATGACGTCGCGTTCGGAGAAAGTATTACTTTGTATCACAGCTCTTGTGCGTTAGCTCACTGGCTACTGTAGTTAGCCTCTCTCTCCCTCTCCCTCTTATTTTTCCGTTATGTTTGTGTCTGTCTGGAAACAACATGTGGGAATATGAGTTTTACCTAGATCGTCCATGTTTGCGCGCTTCCGAAAGTGCTCTGCTCCTAATCCGACTCTGAAGACAATGTGTGTAGAGCTCGTTTCAGAAGACAAGTCTGTGCTGAAGTTTTTCCTGCTGTTCTAGACGCTGGTCTGTGTGGCTGCTGGACAGGACTGGACCCCCGAAACATCACACTGAACACACTACTGAGAAACTCTCTTCACTGCAGCGACCACTGCTGGTCGACGAGCGCCACAGCGGGGCAATGGAAACATTACGACCATTTCTTTCTTTCTAACGTTCTCACTGACCATCTATATCATACAGGCCCATATAGTACAGGCCTGGTTTCACAGACAGGGCTTAGATTAAGCCAGAATTAGGCAGTAGTTCATTTAGGACATTTAAGTTGCTTTTATAAAGGTGTCTTAGGAAGAAAAAAAAACATTACTGATGCATCTTGAGGCAAAACAATGACACTGACATATCAATGCAAGTTGCTTTCAGTCAAAACAGCTTAAAAATGCATTTCAGTCTGGGACCAGCTTAAACCTTGTCTGTGAAACCGAGGGGCAATGTTGTAATATTAGTTAATTTTGTTATTGAAAGTTGGGTGTACCAGAAAATTAATCTTTTCTGATTTATTTTATTATGTTACAAATGTATCCTTCATGTTTCTTATCATATTCATTTATATATCTGTAGTATCAGTTATTCATTTACTTTATAATCATAAATCTTACAATATGTCTGAGCTGTTCCGGTGTGAAACTGTCTTAAGAAGGCATGCACAGATGCTAACCTGACTCCGCCAGATGGATTTGCTCCGCATATCCATCTGGAAACCTTCCGTTGAAGTAGTTTTGGTAAGGGGCGAAAATACTGGTTAGCTGATTGGCCTATGTTGGTGATAGACGGGCCAAATCAACCAATCAGATCAACGAAGCATATGACGTACTAACAGAGCGTATCTTTTCCTCTGAGAAAAGCCTCCAGAGCAGTGTTTTGCTCTTCTTTCAGTGAAGAAATACTCTGTAATTCCGATAAAACTTGCTCGATAGCCACGCTGATGCTAGTTTCATCCGCTGAAGCCGACATGTTCTTTAGACTGAACTGACGCGCTTCTCGTTGCGTCACACCTCAACCCGCCTCAAAGCCAACGCTGATTGGACGTTCGTTTGGTGAACTACTCCCAAATTTTCTTTAACGGAAAGTATCCAGACTGATCTGCGAGTGAAACCTTGAAAGCTCGCGAGATCAGGATGGTCTCACGAGGCTACACAGATGCCTGCTTCGGTTGAGATGTGATCACTTGTTAAGAGGTGTCAAAACCACAATAGTTCATCAATAAGTTGAAAAGTTGCAGTTGCAAAGTTACTTATAAGCAGTAGAATGTCTTTTGGGGGGCATCAAAATAAAGTGTTAGCAGGTATTAAGCCGACAGTCTACTAATACTAGTTGACATGTAGTTGCAAAGTTACTTATAGTTGGTTGAATGTCTAAAGCGGACCATCGAAATAGCGTAAACACATTGTTCTTTTGATCGATTTTGAAGTCACTTGAAGGCATTTGAGACACAGATACAGACACTTGATCTAATGCAATGCTAGCCTGGTTAAAACCAGAGCATTCTCAGTTGTAACTGAGTTAAAAGGTGTGTTCGACATCGGCTGCGGCTGGATGTAAGCGATCGGCGAGAGTAGCCGCGTGCAGGCGGGGAGGAGCTGCAAACGGAGACGTGAAGTCGGACACTTTCTGGTTCCCGTAGTGACCGCTCACGTGGTGTTTGTATAGCCTACTTTAGCACAGCTGAAGTGAAATAAATGCAATATTTGCCAAATACACAGATGTTTCAGAGACATTTTCATTCAATACTTTATGTAGCCTACTGCTTCATACAGCGTTTGTTTGAACAAGAATAAAGTTCAACATAAGCCTACAGCTAGGCCTACTATCAATGAAGTGGAATCAACGTTTTTTAATCAGTTTTATTTTGATAAACATAACACAATAAATCGCGACTACATGAAAAGAGTGTTTACTGTTATTAAAAAACTGATTTGTGAGCTTTAGTGGAACTAAAGGTGTGAGAATAAACACGAAACGCACGTCATCGTTGTCATGCGGTGAATCCGGCCAATCGTGGAACAGCTGTGTCGTCATCACAGCTCGTGCAGCCCAGAGCAGCCGCTCTTCAGAAGCTGCGCTGGCTGAGTTCTCCGGCTACTCTCGAATCGCTCTCGCGGTACTTTGATGGCATACGTCACAGTCACGTGGCGTCGGCGCTGTATCAAGTCGGACAACATTTCTAACCGGCATGCACTGCTTCAAGTCTGCCGCCGATCGGTCTGCGCAGAGCTGCATGAAGTCGAACAAGCCTATGGTCTGGCAAAGCGTCATAGACAAATCATTTCCAGAGGGGCGTCACCAACGGACGTCGCGGATAGACCTAAACCCAATCAGAGCGATGAAGGAGATGACGTATGCAGAGCGGCAGAAACATCTCAGAGTGTTGTTCTTTGCTCGGTTTTTAACAAAAAGGAAACGTTCAAATCGCTTAAAACAGACGCGATAGCTGATTGGAACGAGTGATGTTCGACGGCGGCATCCATCTTTGTAATGTAGGCTACAAAATCTGGTTCAAAATCCCAGTGCTGTCCTCATTGTGTAAAGCCCGCCCCAACGTTTCTGATTGGTGCCGCGATTTCGACGGATTGGAAATGGGCTTGAATGAGCTCTTTGCCAGACTAACTTTCAGAGCAAATCTAAATTTGCCGGAAGTTGTCTGGGTTTTCCCAGGCAAATGCAATGCATAACACTCTGTACGTATTGTGTGAATGTGCACACAGAAATAAATAATATTTCTATTTCAGTTAAAAACTATAATAAAAGTATCTGATTAAAGAATGAATAATGATCATGCAATAGTATTAAATAAATAAACTAAAAGCCAAAGGAAGCTGATCGTGTGCAAGTACGTGAGTGTGTGCGCGTGTATACTTTTTAAGTATGTCACAAACTGAAGAACATTAAAAAACTTCAACATGTCTCATTGAAAACAAAGGCTGCATCAGAAATCACATACTTCCCTATTATATAGTAGGTGAAAAAACAGTGTGTGACAAAAGAAGTGTGTCCGAATTCCCAGTACTCATAAAAGAGTAGGCAGAAAGGATGATTTACTTCTTCCGGCGAGATTCTGAAGTGCGCATATGATGGACACTTTACTATCCCATGAGGCCACAGGAGAGGACTTGTGAATGGCAGTGAAGTGACATAACTGACGCTGGTAGGTCACATTCATTGTAGGAGCCAAATGTGGTGTTTTGTGCATTTAGATATTGGGTGTTGTTCCTTATTTGTACAGTGGGTGTCACTCTAATATTACCTGGGCTCAAATTATAAAGGTGGATCCAAACTGGCAACAGGGAGGGGTTTTGACCCGGAAGGGCAAAGGGTTTTTGACTCAAATGTAATCGCTCAGTCTAATACTGACGGCTACTGAGGTGGTTTAGCCCAGGAGTGCCCTGGCTGTTATTCTATTACCATACTTTATCATTCTTGAGAGTCTCCAGACTTTGTTTTGTTGATTATTCAGTTTATTTCTTTGACCGTGCAGAGGTAAATGTCCATTTATCCAGTTTCAACGGCAAACCATATCCATATAAATATACATATAATAGACTGTCAACAATAGGTTTCCAAAAACCCTTTGCCCTTCCGGGTCAAAACCCCTCCCTGTTGCCAGTTTGGATTATATAATTTGACCCTAGGTAATATTAGAGTGACACCCATTGTACAAATAAGGAACAACACCCAATATCCAAATGCACAGAACACCACATTTGGCTCCTACATTCATAGTATCAAACATACTTTTTTAGCAGCCACGAAGTAATTACTCAAAATAAGTACCTGCTGATTTCGGATGCAGCCAAAATGTCTATTCATTTCAGAGAAAAAAAAAACTAAAGAAGAAAGGATTAATCATTTTATTGTCATGTTACTGTTTAATTAAATAAGAGGAAAAAAAGCATCTGAAATGTTCCTCCTGATGTGAAGGTGGTGTAAGTTAGGAAAGTTAATGTTTGTCTCTGGTTTTGAATGGCACAGTTAGTGATTTGCCTTTAACTTATTAACACAAGATGTGTGACACTCATTTCCCTGTGGTTGAAATTCAAACAATCGCTGGAGACCGACACACTTTGAATAAAACAAATTGAAAACACCTCACATTATAAACATCCATCCCAAGCATGTTAAAAAACTCAAATGTCTCGTTTTTAAAATGGAGTCTTGATTTTGTCAGAAGTCCACAGCCTTCAGCTTCTTCTCTTCCTGCTCGGTCAGAGGCTCCCGAGACAGAAGTTTCCCGTGCAGACGGTGATGTTTCCCGATGCCCAGCTTGGGTAAACCTCGATTCAGGCCCTCCAGCAGAACACAGGACTTACACAAGGCCTGACTGGAGATATAGCCGCAGCGAGAACACGTTCCCTGGACCGGCATCTTCACCCCTTCCTTTACGGAGAGCGTCTCCCCGGAGTGGATGACGTCTATGATGGAGCTGGGCCTGATGGACTCCAGGTCTTTGAGGAAGGCGCGAGCGTGACCCCGGTAGGCGTTCGGCGAGTAGATGCACTCTGTGGAGAAGTAATCGAGCTTCTTAAAATAGGCGTAGAGGACGATTTCTTTCTCGTAGGCGTATTTAAGTGGCTTGCAGCGAGGAATGGCGCCCTCTCCTTCGCTGGCCGTGCTGATGGAGGTGCAGCGCCGGAGACGAGCAATATCCCCACGCAGGACATTCATCAACACCGTCTCGGACACGTCATCCGCATTGTGACCTGCTCATTCAACAAAACAAACCTCAGTAAACCTTTCAGCCTCGGAAAATGCATTAGTTTCCATCTATTTCTAGACATCTATTTCTGAGAGACTCAAAGTGTATTTCAGAATACATTAATACGAGTTAAACTGTATGAAACTCATAAAATATAGACATTATATGGTTAGGCTTCTGTAGGTGTAATCTAATGTTTCAGGATGATTCAGTCATATTAAATAAGATTTGGTTAATTTAGATGTTACCACATGAAACAAACATGTCAAGGTCATATTTATTTGAATTTTTTTTTTTTTTTTTTGCTGTCAAATCAATTAATCGCGACTAATTGCATCGGACATAAAAGTTTGTGTTTACATAATATATGTGTGTATAATTATATTTATATATATATTTCTTAGTGTGTGTGCAAATACTGTATACACACACATTTATATACACACACACACATATATATATATATATATATATAAACATATATCCACACACATATACTTACATACACAGAAATATATATAATAAATAAATATAATAATATATACACATATTATGTAAACAAACTTTTATGTTAGATGCAATTAGTCACGATTAATCAATTTGACAGCACTATTATACACTCACCGGCCACTTTATTAGGTACACCTGTCCAACTGCTCGTTAACACTTAATTTCTAAGCAGCCAATCACATGGCGGCAACTCAGTGCATTTAGGCATGTAGACATGGTCAAGACAATCTCCTGCAGTTCAAACCAAGCATCAGTATGGGGAAGAAAGTTGATTTGAGTGACTTTGAACGTGGCATGATTGTTGGTGCCAGAAGGGCTGGTCTGACTCTGAGTATTTCAGAAACTGCTAATCTACTGGGATTTTCACGCACAACCATCTCTAGGGTTTACAGAGAATGGTCCGAAAAAGAAAAAACATCCAGTGAGCGGCAGTTCTGTGGGCGGAAATGCCTTGTTGATGCCAGAGGTCAGAGGAGAATGGCCAGACTGGTTCGAGCTGATAGAAGGGCAACAGTGACTGAAATAACCACTCGTTACAACCGAGGTATGCAGCAAAGCATTTGTGAAGCCACAACACGCACAACCTTGAGGCGGATGGGCTACAACAGCAGAAGACTCCACCGGGTACCACTCATCTCCACTACAAATAGGAAAAAGAGGCTACAATTTGCAAGAGCTCACCAAAATTGAACAGTTGAAGACTGGAAAAATGTTGCCTGGTCTGATGAGTCTCGATTTCTGTTGAGACATTCAGATGTTAGAGTCAGAATTTGGCGTAAACAGAATGAGAACATGGAACCATCATGCCTTGTTACCACTGTGCAGGCTGGTGGTGGTGGTGTAATGGTGTGGGGGATGTTTTCCTGGCACACTTTAGGCCCCTTAGTGCCAATTGGGCATCGTTTAAATGCCACGGCCTACCTGAGCATTGTTTCTGACCATGTCCATCCCTTTATGGCCACCATGTACCCATCCTCTGATGGCTACTTCCACCATGTCACAAAGCTCTAATCATTTCAAATTGGTTTCTTGAACATGACAATGAGTTCACTGTACTAAAATGGCCTCCACAGTCACCAGATCTCAACCCAATAGAGCATCTTTGGGATGTGGTGGAACGGGAGATTCGCATCATGGATGTGCAGCCGACAAATCTGCGGCAACTGTGTGATGCCATCATGTCAATATGGACCAAACTCCCTGAGGAATGCTTCCAGCACCTTGTTGAATCTATGCCACGAAGAATTGAGGCAGTTCTGAAGGCAAAAGGGGGTCCAACCCGTTACTAGCATGGGGTACCTAATAAAGTGGCAGGTGAGTGTATATATATATATTACATATAAAAAAAAATACATACATTTTTTTATGCATAAAGTTTTAATTTAAATGAGCATAAATAAAGGCAGTACAACAAAATGACAGTCAGTGAAACAATAAAAATTATATATTTTTTGCATTACTTGCAAATAATTGCACACTTGACTGTGATGAAAATGGTCCTGAAAAATATGCTCTGTTTAACACACAAAAAACCATAAAATATTAAATCAAAAGCTAGCATTCTGACTTTATTGGCTCTATATACTTTAAGCTGCCTAAAGCAATGAACTATTCCATATCAATAATGACATCATCATCCTTCCAAGAAGTGAATTTAAGGGAAACTTTGAGTCTACTCTCTTTTATTTTAACTTTATCTTATATGTGTAGTATTGTTCGTCAGTAGAGGATGATCTTAGAATTACCCCAATGTTGAATAATAAACGAATAAAACTGGAAATATATAACAAAGAAACTAAAATGTGAGAATTAAATTCTCTAAAGACGATGCATATATTTAAGTGTATTAATTAAGCCTGAGAAGGCACAATGCAATTTATTAACTCTGAAACACATTATTTGTCTCACAGAATGTCTCATAAACACATGTTGGAAAAGACATTACTCGCCTGTGCATATCTTGTCCACTTTCAGCATCATGGCTCCTCGGTCCAGCGCCTGCCTGCGAAACACACCACAGAAAGTGCAGTTGTTCTTCAAGCCCACCTGCTTTACGATGGCGTCCATCGTCCAGCCGTACAGCTCTTCATAAGACACGATCTTCAGCGGCAGCTCATACTGCTGCTGGTTCCTCTTCACCGTCTCCAGGGAGTCATCTCTGTAACCCGTGATGCCCTCATCCACCGACAGCAGCAGGAGGTTCAGCCCGTAATCATAGCGCTCGTTCAGGAGCTTCATCACATGGGCCAGGACGGTCGAGTCCTTCCCGCCCGAGGCACCGATGGCCACGGTCTCCCCACGATTAAAGAGTGCAGCAGACATGATGGTTTGATGGATCTCCTCCTCAAACGCCCAGAAGAAGCAGTCTTTACAGAGGGAGTGTCCAGTCTTGGGCCGCTTCAGCACGGCCCGTCTCTGAACGCAGTGACTGCACTGGACGGGCATGATGGCGATGCGCACGCAGATCTGCAGAGCATTTCACAGTCATATCAGAGCTGAACTCATCAAAACACATGCTGAACTGGTCTTTCACCCAGGGCTTTTCAAGCTTTTAGATGTCACTGTCCTCAAAATATCAACGTCTGGTCATTTAAAAGGCATATATAAAAAAAAAATTCATGTACAAAGACCACATTTATACTGTGAAATATGTATATTATAAATATGCATACTTTTTTTTTTGTGGAATTTTTTTTTAGTTTTTATTAGATTACATTACATGCACTGCAAGGAAGAGCTAGGGTTTTTGAAAAGTGTGTAAAATTTACAAATAATTGAATAATAAAAAATAAGACTAAAGGAACTAATTAGGTCACAAAAATAAAATGATTAAAATCAATTAATTGATTTCAAAAATGGATTCAAAGACATAAATATTACATAATACATCTACATCAAGTACAGTATTATAGTGAGTAAGAAAAAAAACATAATAATAACATAACATAATAAAAACTAAATATTTTCCAAAAAACATTACATGCATTTTTTACTGGATAAATTTTGCCTTTAAACGTGAAAATTATTGTGGTCAAATCGTTTAATCGCATCTAACATAAATGTTTGTTTATATAATATATATGTGTGCATATATATTATAATAGAATATGTGTGTGTGTTTAGACAGACAGACAGACAGACAGACAGACAGATAGATAGATAGATAGATAGATAGATAGATAGATAGATAGATAGATAGATAGATAGATAGATAGATAGATAGATAGATAGATAGATAGATAGATAGATACAAACTTTTATGTTAGATGCAATTAATCGTTTTGACAGCCCTAGTGAAAATATATATCTGCCTTTCAAAATTTAGGATGACGATGATCATCATATTTTGGGGTCCGTGGAATCTAACAGATTGAAACCCCTGATTTAACCCTTTCAACACTTAAAAGTTTAAAGCAGGACTATTTCTATTTAATTAACGTAATGTTGTTTAGCTTCGGGGAAAGTAGGTGATGATGGTCCTTCTGAATTATAGTTATTTTAAATATGTATTAACCCAAAACAGTGCGGTTTGATTCGAAAGATGTTAAAGACTAAACATGTATACAATTACTTATACAACTATAAAGCATAGTTGTTGTTGGAATGAATTGTATGCACATGATCCTAGTGATTACAAGCAGAAACCACAATGCACAATTTGTTAAAGTGTTTGTAACTAGTTTATGGCCAATTTAAACAAACTAATAACTAAAATAAATTCAGTGTCTGAAAGAGTTAAAGAACAGTCAGAATGTGTATGAATGAATATTAAAGTATTTAAGAAAATCGAAGCATTTTCAGAATAATTTTAGAGAGGAACATAAGTTATTATTACACAAGAAAAACGGAACACTAAAATAGTAGTTGAACTTTATGAAACTGATCAAATATAAACTACAAACCTTTAGTAGGCTAACTTACCGGTACTTCCTACGGGGTGTAATTCATTTAGACAAGAGTGAAGATGTAGGACGATGACGTGTTTAAGTAAATAAAACGCTAAACCATGGTTATAAAACAAATAGCTGATGAGTTTAACGACAAATTAAAAAAAGAATAATCTCAATAATCACAGAACATCTCGGCTGCTGTGAAAAAACCCCATAAAAACACACGTTTCAAGCACGTCATTTCCTGTTTGACTGTTTGCGTTCTGGCGCCCTCTTTTGTCCTGGCATTTAAATTGAAACTTTTATGTCAAAAATGTAAAAATGTTATGATTATGAGGTAGCAGTTATAAACATGTATTCAATATTCAATGTACAATACGTTTGCCAGTGTAAATTAATTTTTAGACCATGTGTAAATAGCAAATAAAACTTGAAATTTCAAAGACTGTATAGCCTACCTTATTCCTTGACACTGCCTAATTATAATAATAGTAAATATACTATAACATAATAGGCTATATAATAAAAAACTGTGTAATTTAAATAGATGCTAAGTTGCTACCGCACCGAAGGATGAATCAGTATTAGTCAGTATTTGTCTTTATTTGTTCAACATTCTGTTCACCATTTGTATTACAGACACAACCAGGCAACAATGAAAGACATGAAAAATCTATATAAACTCAAGAAATGTCCTATCAATTTCAACTGCTTTATTTCCAGCAAATTTCTCTTAACATGTTTAAATATTTGTGATTTAACAACTCAGACATTGAATGATGAGTCTCTGAGCAGTCAGTATCAGAAGCAGCGGCCAGGATCTGGTGTTTCCAGCAGCTGCTTTAAGTCCTGCAGTTCATCTCATCTTCATAGACTGAGCCAGATCTGCCAGTTCTGTGAGATGTCACTCCAACTCGTCCACCAAGGCACTTGCGGGGACACATGTCACACGTGGTTTGTCCCAGACCTGTAGCTCTGTCTTACAGACATTGGCGTGTATTGATCTGTTCACATTTGCAGTGCTCATGCCTCCTGCAGCAGGACTATAACATGTTCATGAGTCACACCAAAAGTGTAAACCTTAGGGACTGTTCCACAAGTGCATGTGCAATAATTGTTTATGGTTTAATTGATTAATTGAACAGTAAAAGCTTATCTGGGTAATACAAAATGATCTTAAAAATACAGTATTCTAAAAAAGGGACATTTCTTTTTTTTTACATCATTACACAAGTGATCAGTCATAAAACTAATTAGAAATAATTATCAAAAAAATCCTTGTAGAAAAATGAATCACTATTTTTAACAAACTCCAAAATTTGAGGTGACTTTAGTTGAAATACCATTCATAGAGATCATGAGCTTGTTTATATTCTCTGTGTCGTGCTATATGGTCACAAGCGGTGCAAATAGGCAGAATAAACTCTTGGGTTTGTTGTATTAAATGAGGAGTTGGAAAGAGATATTTCCTCCAGTTAAAGAACCTGCGATATGCTTCATCGTCCTTGTCCAGCTGAAGCAGATATTCTGCTAGTGACTTTGGATCTGGGAAGTCATTCACATGAATGAAGGCATCGCCGGGAACAAAGTTTTCATAGTTTTTTCTGGGAGGACCCAGAACCACAGGGACGGTTCCTGCAGCAAGCGGCCCGTTTATCTTCTCAGTGATGTAGTCCTTGTGGATGGAGTTCTCAAAGGAAAGGTAAAACTTGCAGCTAGCTAGGGTAGGATAGTATTCGGTATAATCCAAGAACTTTGCATAAGCCTTTCCGAACATGGTCACTTCGATGTATTTGCTGAATTCTTGGTAAAACTGGTTCCTTGTGCCAACACCTGTTGAGGGAGCATTGTTACTCACAATCCAACACACCAGTTTGTCCTTTTTGGGAATTACAAACTTCTCATCTGGTTTCTTCCTGGTGTTTAATTTCAACCGTACAGGAATATCAGCATCATGTCTGTAGCTGAGAGTGAGATTGAACAGGTTTTCCAGACCTGGTATTCTATGAGTGTTGGTTGGTGATTCGACATGAAACCAAATCCACCTCTGGAACGGAGGACGAGGAGATGGAGGAAGGTTGGTCAGGTCCCAACTGATGGCTTTGTGAAAAATGAGGACAGCATCTGCATTGCTGTAGAGTGATCTATCATCCGTCAACTGACAGTTATCGATATTGTAAAACTTTTTGCAGTCACTGAAGTCAAACCTGTAATTTTCAGGCCAGACCCATAGAAGAAGAACAGGTTTGTCTTCTACTGCATCAGTAAGAGAGATCTTGCTCTCGGGAGGCTTGTTTTGTACAGGTCTAGGAAGTGGAAGTGGAAGAGGACAGTTTTTTGGAGGTTGAAACCAGAAAAACATCACGCTCAGAGAGATGATACAAGCCAACGTCACTGTTAGACCCAGACGACACAGCGATGAGCCCTTCGTGCTTGACATTGTCTGATCTAAAAACAATAATGATAAGGAAATGATCAGCCTCGAACATAAACAAGAATAAAAACAAGTGCCTCCCTCCATATTAAAAGTAATGTTACATTGATTTCCAAAAATAAGTTTGAATGAAATATAAGGTAGGCTAGTACATGTGTCTGAGATAGCGGCACATCAGGCAGTTAAAAAACGAAACTGGCTAACACATTTGACTCATACAATCAAATTAGATTCAAATTTTACAGAGTGTTTGGAATGAATAGTGAACTCAACTAGTCTACTCACCGCTTTAAGAGCCCTTCATTAACAGAAATTTGCAGCTGTGTTCCGCACAAGAGTAAGTTACCGCACCGCACTATGTAAAGACGGAAGTCTCGAAACCTAGGAAACTCAACGCCGATAAACTCGTGTGTGTACGCTTCGAAACACCGCCTCTCCCCATCCAAACAAACCTGAACCAGCTAATCTAGATCAATAACCTCAATGAAAAAAAATACAGTCAGATTGTAGCCTAAATAACAGGTGTGACATTTCATGCATATAGTTGCAGACAAAATAATGTAAATTCTTAACTGGAAATTATGTTCCAAACGTATGCGCTCCAGACAATCGTCATTACGAGCGTACAACCAGCTCCAGTTCTTCCGGCATTCTCCGTCTCATCTTCTTCTCTTATACCGTCAGGGGGAGTTTCCCTCTGGGTTCGAATTACCGATCATTCGGGTCCTCAAAACTACAGTTTCGTTCAACAATCATTTGGGATGTCAAAACTTCTAATTTGCCAAATAACACTTTTCTCCAAACACAGTTGTCAGAATCCATGTGCAGATTGTTATAATCTAAGTTCAACAAGTAGTGCAGCGGAAGGTATTGAGAAACGGATCACTGTTGATTGTTTGTAGAAATAAAGTGCAGCAATAAAAAGCCTTAAGACTGAATAAAATAGATAATAAGAGAGTGGCGTGTTCGTTGTTTGAGTACAAAAAAATGTTTCGAGGAGTCATTTAGGAATAGCAACAGCTAGATGTTTCAGAAGAACAAATGAAAGATAATTATATGAACGGGGCAAAAGTAGGCTACTGGAAGTAACGCCTTACAACAAGTAGAAATGGGGAGAAATGCAATAGCTTCTCTGTTTAATAAAGTTTAATGAAGCGAGACTTCCTGATATGATAAGGTGTAGATAGGATACATGAGCTATGAATATATTCCTCCACCTGAGCACTGAGGTGCTTTAAGTGCCAAAAATATGGTCATGTGGCAGCAATAGGTAATATGTAATAGCAATATGCACATCTACCACATAACAGAGATGTGGTAGATGTGCAGTACGGGAAGTGAGAAGGAATAAAGCTTAAATACTGCAACTGTGGAGGAGCTCAGCTTACCGCGGCTGCGAAGCCAGCAAAAGGGCAGTGGAGGTGCAACGAGTGAAGCCATTACCAGGAATAACATATGCGGAAGCTGTAAAGAAAGTGTCTAGAGAAAAGATTGTTGATGGTTTATGGTTGAAACCACAGTTAGACTTTGTGATATCTGGATATACTGCAATTAGAAATGATAGGGAAACAAGAAAAGGTAGAGGGAATTTTTGTAAGAAATGGAATAAAATATAAAATAATCAATAAAGGAAAATAACATGAATCTGTTAAAGTATGGACAAGAAGAGACAGTATAATGATAATCAATTAATCCCTGTAACAGACTGAGCACTGATACTGAATGCAGTATGGATTACGAGGGGGAGTATAGGTGTGGGGATTTTAATGCACACAGTTTATTATGGGGGAGTAGGAATACAGATGCAAATGGATCAATAATAGAAGAATTCTTAGATGATAAAAATTTGTATTTTTATATATTTTTGTCATTGGTTGTTGCATTAAATCTTACCCAGATACAATAGTGCTATTTTCTGATTGGCTATTGTGTAGCTCGACGAACAACACCAGAGGAAACGCGCTTGATTCATGCCGGAGGCATATTAAATATATTACAAATAGTTTTTCAGCGTGAGAAATACAATGTGTGGCGGGAGAGCCTGACAAAAGACCGAAATGAGTGACACTTGAGAGCCCTGCATTATTCAAGAAGAACCGCTATAAAACCAAACCAATCTCTGTTACCTTAAATTATATGTTTATCTCTGTAAAGCTGCTTTGAAACAATCTACATTGTTAAAAGCGCTAGGCTATATAAATGAGGATGACTTGACTTGACTTGGAAACTTTGATTAACTACAAAAGCAAACAATTAGGACAGCCAAACGTGAATATTGGAGACTATTCTGTAATAGAATTAGAAGAGAAACTCAGTTGTCAGACATATGGAGAACAATAAGGAAAATGAGTGGAATAAGAAATAATGTGGAAATACCAGTGTTAGTAATGATAAAAATGCGATTAGTAATGCAGAAAAAGCAGATTTTTGTGAAGATTCACAGCTCCGAAAATCTATCCTCAACAGCTAAGCAGTGTAGAGACACTTGCTCAAAATCCAGGAATAGTAGAAAGAAGTAAGAGATCTGGACTTGGCATTTACTCTATTTGAGCTAAAAAGAGCAATATCAAACACACGACAAACGACACCAGGGACAGATGGTATATGTTATAGCATGCTAGGTCATATGAAAGATGTAACACTTTTAATACTGTATGATAGAGGACCAGATGTGTCCTTCCTTTGGGTTCCTGCCCATGTAGGGGTGGAAGGAAATGAGATTGTAGATGTTTTGGCTAAAGGATCAATAAAACATGAAAAAAGTTGATATACAAGTACCATTATGTAGAGCAGAAATGAAAACCATTATAAAGGGACACATACAAACAAAATATGGCAAGAATAGGCCTACTGGGATATAGCTGATACTGGACAACATTTGTATAATGTACAAAAACAAGTAGACGTAAGTTTTAGGCAGGGCAGAAATCCAAAAGAAGAAAAGATAATTACTCGACTTAGAATAGGTCATGCTGGTTTAAATTTCCCATTACATAGAAAAGGAAAACACCCCACTGGACTTTGCACCCACTGTAACACACAAGAGACAATAAAACACATTTTATTAGATTGTAGAGGAAGAAAGAGAGGCGTTAGAAATACAAGGTGGAAAACTAGAAAATCTGCTGGGAAAAACAATGTCTTGGAAAATGTACAGTCTCCTAATTAATTATTTAAAAAAATATAGGGATAAGTGAAAGAATTTAATATGAATATATAGTGAATATATCTTCCTTTGTGTTCAGCAGAAAAAACAACTTGGAACAACTTGAGGGTTAGTAAAATTATTTGTATTTTTATTTATTATCCCTTAAGGAGGTAAAGTCAAATATCCAGGGCAGAGCTACAGATAGGTAAACACATAGTGGCAAATACACAGAACAAATTTAAGGAGTTTGATAAAAGAGCGTATTGTATGGGAACATACAGTACAAAACACACTGAGTAATACAGGCCAGCAAAAGCAGGAGATACAGTATGTACACAAACAATATGATCAAATGCCTGTATTACTTTCGTGACGTGGATGTTTGAGCACAGACACATGTCTGTGATGCATATAAATCTGGCCCAGCCTCCTTTAAGCTGAAGAGGTCATTTATTATAGTTATATTGCATCAATTTAAGTATTAACCTTAACATCCTGGATCTTCAGACAAACTAAATATTTCAGGTTTGGCCATATGACACCTTCATGGAAAGAGAGGTAAGGTTACTGGAAAAAGTATATTGACTTTGCATTTGGTCATCACATTTTATTTGATATTCAAATAATTCCCAGCAAAAAAACAAACTTATAATAATAACACAAGAGTATACTGTTATTTTTTTTGACAGTGTGTGAATCCGTCTATGTTATAGCATTCTCTGGAGTGGAAATCCAGAGAACTGCAAGAGACAAATGTTATTTAACAAATGAGAATTGTTGACATCTCAAAATAGGCGAAGCACGTGCATTAAGACAGTATAAAAGACCAAATTCAGTTCACAACGTATTAAAAAAGCATCTATATACAATCAAGACAGTATAACAGGCCAGAATAAACCAAATTGCATGTTAAAGAGCATGTTGCAGGTTAAAAAAAAAAATCTAAATTGATATCTAACCTTGTATGAAAACACCATATGAAAAGGTAATGCAGGATTTAAAATGTTTTAAAACGACATAAGGGCACACATTTAGAAGATAAAGTGAGCGTTTCTTTGACTGCTCGTAAAAAACGTTTTTTTTTTCAGCATCGCGTCATTTTACGTCACCAGAGGGAGGGAGCCTCAGCAGCCAGATAGGTTTGTATTCAGTACGAGCGGGTAAATTTGCTTTTTTATACTCAGAATGACAATTTGGAATGTAAAGAACAACATATTATACAGTTATTTGTTTTATTAGGAAAATACCATATACATAAAAAGAATTGGGCTTTTTTTCACGTTTTATAAATGACTTCACATTATATGTACATCTTTTGGAACAAACAAACTAAAAACAAAAAAGCAAAGAAAACATGTAATGCTTTGAAAGCACAGGATTTTATGTAAAACTTTTTTTTGTATTTTTTATTTCCTGGCAGCTAATGTTAATGTGATATTGTGAATATGTAAAACCTATTGTTCTTGTGGCATCGAATTTAAAAAAAAGTCAGTAAGAGCGGTCTGAATCAGTGTTTTCGGTAGTTTTTATATTTTAATTTATCATCGTCATCATTGTAAATTATTGTGTTTGTGGAGGTTGCAAAAACTCCGGCCTGTCAGGACATCGAGTCAGGTTTCCTAACAAGAAAAGGGACGGTGCATGTCTATCGTGCCTGTGTGCGGTTTGTGCAGCTGTAGAGACAGGATTTCTCTTCCGCATCGGCTTCCAAAAACGCGATCGTGTGTAGCGTACACCAGATCTGAGGAACAAAAACGTGTATATCAGGAATAAAAATATCTATCTGTCTCTCGATGAGCTAAGTTATATTACGTAACGTTAGACTAGTCTAGACGGATATTAATGAGCATGACATACGCGCCTGATCAAAGCTTATATAGTTTATTCTGTTATTGGTAAAATCCAATACTCCTATGACCAACGACTCCAGAAGCCAATGTAACATATTTATAAGTATATTTTAAAGAAAATCTAATTACTACATTGTTTTTCTAAACATTTACTCGTTGGGTCCTCTAACCTGCAATATGCCCTTTAAAAGTTTTCCTCACATAGAAAACCACAAAAGAATGCTTAACTTGGCTTAATGGACTAAGATATTGACGTACCAAATCTAGTATCCAGTGTGTTTTAGTATCAAAAGCTTAGCACTTTTTGTTCATATTCTGGGCTCATCTGCCTGCCTGTAGTTTGCATCATCAAT